CAAGACCTCCAATCTCCACCTCTCTGCATCACACACAGTCCCAGTTCAGACTTTACTGGGAACCAGCTCAGATCACAGAGCTTTTTGAAGTTCCCAAAAGTCAAACTGGAACCCAAAGACCTGAAACAAACTCTCACATTCACACTTACGTTCGGTTTGAAATCACAAATTAAAATAAACCCATGGATGTCTTTGGACTATGCAAGAGAACATGCACATCCACACATAAGAGCACATGGATTTTAGCTTGTTACCTTTCTGCTGTTAGGAAATACTGCTAACCATCACAAAACTGCAACCCTGGGGGATAATCATTATTAGCTTATATAGAAACAGGACCAGGCTGCTGTCAGAATCTGCTTTTCCTGCTGTGCAAAATAGTTTTTACCTCTCAGATGTAACAGGCTGATGGGGTATTGTTGTCACCCTGGTGGGCGGACAGTGTGGACACCTAATTTTGTGAATGTGATAATTTGAGCAGGGTGGCATATGAGCTTCAAATTGATACCATAGACACATCTACTGACACTCTTGGATCAGTTCAGATCTCAGTATCATTAACCTCCAAGGTCAAGATCAGAGGTCAAGTTTTCTTCAGCTGTTGCTTGTAAATGCAACAACTGGAGGACAAGGTGACAGGATTTTGAAAGGGATACCAAAGGTGTGACTATCAGGAGGCTTTTTTTTGTTTGTAGTCAGTCAGTCAATCCAATTAGATTTACAAAATGTCTTTAAATCTTACAAGTTATGTAACATCAAACTCTTGACTGTTGTTTCAAGAGAAGGAGGACAGCACCTGTATCATTGATCTAACGTTTTTCTGTCCATGTCTCTTTTTGTAGGAACAGGTTTTTTGTTTTTATATATTATGTGTTTGCTTTTTTTGAGATGAGAAGTGTGAGTGTGATATCCTTCACAAATCTGAGATCTGAACTTGAATCGTGTTGTGATTTGGTTAGCTTAGGTTAGGAGGATGCCTGGAAGCAGAGTGACCTTTATCCAAAGTTAAAGTAAAGAGCAGTTTTACCTGGGCCTTCTTTGTTCTGATGCTTCCTGGCTGGTAAGTGATGTCTTCAGTTCTCACTTCTGAATAGACTGCAGCTGAATACATAAAAAAACACATTAGGCACAACTACTACATCTAACTTTATTTTATTATTATTTGTATTACAATGTTTTTAATCTTGCATCATGAAAACTTTAACTGACATCTCTTTAAACAAATCAGCACCTTTGTACAGTTTCTTTTTCTTTTTAACAGCTCTGCTGAGAAACACAAACTGACCACAAAGAACTGCTGAGAGTTTCTGAGAATAACAAGGTGGACGACCACAAAGCTGCCATCTCTTTCAATGCACATTGACTCTCTTCACCACAGTGCTCAAAGTAAACATGTTCTCACAACACGACCACTGTTAAGTGCCTTGAGGCAACTGTTGTTGTGATTTGGCGCAATATAAATTAAATTGAATTGAAATGAATTGCTATCATCAATGAGTTGATGGTCTGTGTGCAGAGTTTAGAGAAACGCTTTTCCAAGTTATGTCTACATGATCCTTCCTGTGTTTAAAATGAGCAGCTCTGTGTTGAAACAGCTGCAGCTGAAGTGTTTCTTTCTATCAGAAACAGGATGCTGGACGACTGCAGAGCTGTTAGCTTCAGTTAACCACAGACCACAAACACACAGTCCAGCTCACAGTGAACAACACTCAGTAAGTACAGTATGAAACACACATGGTAACATTCGTCTAAGTTAGCCAATATTTACTAAAAGGACACAGATGTATATATAGGTGTGAACTTAATTGTTACGATTTTAGGCTTTTGATCAAAAATAGTTTTACTGTTACAATAATCTGCATTTCTACACTTCTGATCATCCCTCACTGCTTCATAATGTCCTTAAAATTCATCATATCACCAAAGTCATAAACAGTCTTCATGGACTAAATCTAATTCTACCTCCAGTCAAACTCAGCAGCAGTCTTATATTGGGTCTGAGCAGAAATGTGAAGTTATTTTATAACCTCTGCCTAAATGAAAGGGAAACAACAAGGGCAGATGCAGACTCACCAGACACCATCTGATAAAACATGATTGAATGGTTTGATGACTTTGTCATTGAAAATAAATAAGTAAACCACACAAGTTATACTTCTACTCTTTACGTGTGAGCTGGTCTTCTAGTAAGGATTTTCTAATAAGTCTTAGATTAGAACAAAAAACAAACTGAGCAGAAACTTGCAGAGGTGAAAAGAACAAGTGCAAAAAGCTGCTGTTCCTCTAATAATCACTTTCCTAAAGAAATTTATTCCCCACAAAGTAATCCAGGAAGTTACCATACGTATATTGAAATCAATCCTTACTATGATAAAAAAGAAGCTGAAACTTTCTGATGTTCATATACTTTGTGTTTAAGCTGCTGATTGGCTCTTTGAGAGCGTTGCAACCATCATGTTTGTTACTACAACTTTCAAGCAAAGTATGCCTTACCTATTCATGAATGTCCTCACATTATAAAACACACCACACATCTACTCCCAAAACACACACAGACACAAAACACTAAAAACCGAGTGAAGGAAACACGGCGATACCTCTACTTTGTATTTTGACAGCATGGTACATGACACGTGTGATGATGTCATCTTCTCCAGCTTGTTGATCTGCTGAAATTTTACAAAAAGAAAAATATTTAAAATTAAATATCTAAACAGAGATTACATTTAATCAAGTCATTACTGTGGTCATCATGAATGTGAACTTTATTCTACTAAACAAACTCAGACGTGAAAGATCAGGAAGTCTGAGTCTCACCTTCAGGTTTCCTGTGAACACATCGTCTCACCAGCAGAACCAGTAACACCAGTAGAACCACAACACA